TTCTGCCCATTTGGTCATTCTACCGTCGATATCGGAGATCAGTCCCCCGGTGAAGTCGCGCAGAGCGGGTTGTAAAGATTGCTTTCCGCCGGACGCTGATCGTATGAGGTCTCCGAAGTGACATGCACTGGCTGCGGTTTTTATCTTCATCGCTATTTCGCTCCAGTAGTTGCGTTGATCTGTTTTTGCGGAGCGAGTTGCTTCGCGTCTGAGTCGCTGGTAATAGTGGTGGCCAGCTAGACGAGCGTCCCTGGCCAGGGTTGAAAGATGGATGGTTTCCTCTGATATCCAATCTTTGCAGCAGCTTTTTGTAGTACCAAGTTTGTTTGGTGCAGCTTGTTGTACCGCAGCTTTTATCCTGGACCACTGCACATCAGTGGAGTCTGCTACGTTGACGAGTGAGGCAATCATCATCATCGTTCAGAGAAATACAGTCAGGCGAACTTCACTGATCGCTGCCAAACTCGCAATACATGCAGGGTTAGTGGTAATATTTCAGGTGGACAGGAATTGGATCTATTTTGAGGGAGGGAGAAGAAGATGAGCCACTATGGTCAACACACAGAGTACGCAATCAAACTCTGCATACATACCGTTTCAAGCATTCTGACCTGATAAGAAACGACAACAAGAACGCCACTGCTGCCGGTTCGCTGCCATATCCTTCAATGTCTGCAACCAACCAGTTATGGAGTCTTTCGGACCCCAACCTGGAAGGCGAGAGACACCCACTCTACCTAATAGCTCTGTGCATTTCTTCATGCCTCGTCTCCACAAACTGATTTGCCAGTCGGGTTTCAATTTCATTCATCAGTGTTTTCGATTTCTCGCTACACTCTAATGGGCCCACATTGATGAGATTTCGAGGGGTGGCCTTAACACGGATAGTCAGCCGAAGGGGAAGTTTCACAGGAATCAGCATGTGGCCAGAGCCACCTGTTACTAGCTTCGGCATCGTGATACGATCTACAATCGTCTACTGCTGGGATTCAGTGTAACCGTATCAAGATGTAGTCGATCTGGTGGGCTGTTATACCGTCGTCGAAGTACCAGGTAAGGGGATGCTTCCTGGGGTGTTGGTTATAAATAGCCGGTTAAAATCGGAGAAATTGATTAACCTGTTACCGTTTTCGCAGCGATGGCCTAGTCCAAATTTTCCAATTATTTTTTGTTGAAGGTCCTTGCCCACCTGTTGAAGCATGCAACGCAGTTGTACGTCCTTGAATTCAACTTTTGGCTTTTAATTTTGGGAGATCGGCGGATTAAGAGTTGGAACTTGAAGTCTGGAAGCGTGATTTAGCAAGACATGAACAATCAATGACGCGCTAGGTGTGAGGCCAGAAAAGGTGGGTTGTAGTATTTCATGTGGAGACAAAATAAACGGTCCCATCAGCTGCCCGGTAGTCAAGTGGCAAGTATGCTTGCGTTCTACCTGTAAGGTCCCGGGTTTAATCCTCAGTTGGGTTGATGGATTCGCACCGCTGATTAAACCTAACCAGGTTGAAACAGCTGCACAGAGCTTCCTAGCTTTTCAGTTCACGATTTATTTGCTACGTGCACGACGAAATCTATCACACAATTTTAGGTGTCACAGTCGTCTAGCGTGGTAAGTGTTCGATCTCGATAGATCACGCTGGTTGGGGCATGTGTCGCGTACATCAACAAGTAGGATACCACGCAAGCGATGTTCGTCGAGAAAAGCAATGAGTGAAGCAAAGTTAAGATTGGTCAAACCAAGACTTGGCATACGGATATGAAAACCTTGACCAGGAGACTCGGTTGCATGGGTGGCGTTAGACCTCCTGGATGAGAACCTACGGATCGGCGTAGCCGAAGGTTAGAGACAGTGAGTGTAGTAAACAGCAGCGCACGTGCATCTCCTCACCCTTTTTGCAATACTAGCTTATCTTAATTTTATATCTTCCTCATGATTCTAATTTTTCCCTCCATTCTTTTGTCGAAAGAAAGCAACCATAACAGCTGCACGAAAGTGAATAGTTATTTAAACCAAAACTGTATACGCACTCAAGCGAAGTTCAAAGGCTTTGCGTGATAGGTCTCTAGAAGTTCCCGCACAGATGCTTTGATCAGGCTCTCGCTTTGGATCTACACCCCAACGCTTTGTGGGTCAAACTTCTGAGTCAGATTATCCAAAAACCTCGTCATTGTGGGTTACCGCGATGTATGGTGTGCCCTAAAGTCTCGGGCACGCAGTTGCAAGATCTTTTTTTCTTTTCTGTCGAGTTCTTCCGCTAATTCCCGATACATATCAATCAGCATCATCGCCTTATAGCAAAATGCAACAAAGCGAATCTCCTAAATAGCTGCAAAAGCTCAATCTGCATAAAGAAAATCCGAATACGTAAGGTCGACAAGGAGCTGATGTGTATGAAAAAGAAAGGAGCAACAGATTTCAAAATCTAAAGGTGTATATACCTAAACTTATCTTAATAGTCTGTCTAGACCAAAGATGACAAGAACTTCACCGCTATAAGTTCACCGTTATGCCCTTCACGATTGTGGACCTCAGATATGCTTTATATAATCTCGTGCACTTTTTGATGTAGGTAATTCCAGCTTAGGGATAACTACTGACTGGAATGTGTATGAACTGAACACAGTTTACACGCGCAAGTACAACAACTGAATCCGCGTGAGGGATAATAACTTAATACTCACCTGAAGCAAATCGAGCTGCACGCGGCCGTCTATATTTGTGAACTTGTTCTCCCGCCGACCCATCTGCTTGGATTGCATCATGACATCACGCACGGTTGACCGAGCACCTCGTATCCGCCCTAAAAATGCGAAACTGTCCACTTTCAAATGGCGGGCCCGATTAATGAGATAGGGTAAATCGAAATTCTGTATATTGTAGCCGGTGATAATGTCCGGATCAACTTGACGCACAAAAGCAGCCCAATGCTGAAGGGAAATGAAAGAATATTAGGAAAGACTGAGTAACCTCATTTCAGTGAGTACTTGGTGTATAGTTTCGTCAACATGACGAAATAAAAGAACCTAGGCTTCCCCTCAAAAGAAAGCAGCAAGGAGAGTTAAATAAATGTAAGACAAGAGTGACATGCAAACTTCAATGCATAGGAAATGATCAATCACATAAACAGATCCACTCAGATTTACAATGCATCTATCAAGTGTGGACAACTTCTGTATTCAGCCCAAGGCTACCCATTGCTTTGTCCGTTTAGTTCGCTCAGTCCCGAGCCCTTGTTTTACTTGAACACAGGTGTGTGCTTATTCCGCTTGCTGTAGTTGTTAATAGTTTATTTATAACGGAAATGCTCAGTGATTTGTCTTTCTCGTAAAACTTATGAATCGGCTGAGATTCCTTTTAGTGTCATGATTATAAATGAGTAACACCAAATAATAAATCTAAGGTGGTGCTTGGTGAAATGAAGATACCATTACGCCACATCTTTATTAATAAATTAAAAGTATATTACGTCTGAAATCTTCATTTTTCGCTCAGCAAACTCCCTTTTAAAGATGTGACTATTTTTGTATTTGAAACCTCATTATGGTTGGGGTGTCTTGGGTCATGATTGGTCACCCCACCCTTGCGCCTCCCGAACCAAATAACCTCTGATGAGGAAACTCTACTCGCTGCATTCACGTGGTGGAGGTGGTTACATATCAGAGTGAGAGAGTAAAAAGCTATCATCCGGGTCGGTGAACAGTCCGCCAAGAGGATTCCAAACTAACCTTCCTGGTTATAGCAGTGTTCACCGGCTTAACTGAACAGAAAGCAAATCGGACATTTGACCCTATCCAAAGGGTCTGTGATCCGATGAACTGTATAACGACTCCCAATAGAGCGAGGTTTCCACCACCACACCACCTCGTTATCTCGCAGGTCAGGCTTTGATTGACAGAAGGCTCAGTTAGTATTTTTCAAGAAAATTTATTTGCTTTAGCGTGGGTAACCTGATTGTATTCTATTCGCGAACAAATCGTGGCCTCACTTTTGTTATACGCTGTTGTAAAGTGACTCACAGGGCACATTGTCAGAACTCGGGTAAATGAGAAATGCAATGTAATAATTAAAAGGCAAAGACGCACATCAGAGTGTGGAGACGGGTAGTTTTATGGTTGCTTTAACATGTTCTATGGCAATACTTTCGAACCAATGATCATTTTGAATGTGCAGTTCGTTTAATTGCAGATAACAATCTATATGATCTGGCATGCACCACGTGATAGCGTGAGTTATGCTCATTATTTGCCATGCCCTCAAAAAGCCGCAGTTTTTACAAGGGTGAGCAAGACCTCGTTTTCATCACAAGAAATGTTTTTATGGAGCGCATCTGTTAAATTGTCTTCTGGGGGAAGTAGCGATCGCTACACTTTTGTGAAGAGCGTATTTTCATTAAAGTGAGAGGAGTAAAGGCCAATGCTCGAGGTTATAGCCGGATTGTCGTACCTCATCCAAGGGAGCTGGAAAAGCCTGATTTCGAAAACTTTAAGAAGAGACGTAAGACATTTTGAATGCGTTGGTCGCCGGCTCAACTGAGCAACCTAGACGTGTGCTATGGTCGAAGACCGTGTAATCCGGCTGACTGGGCACCGGTTTTTTTGGAATGGAGTTTTTGCACGTCGTCTTGTTTCAAGCTTTGGATAGGTGAAGGTTCCTGCTTTTGTTTGAGCTACCTGATACTATTGAGTACACGAACAAACCCGAAAGAACTCCAACTCGAATTTCGAACATGCACTGAAAGCTCGTATGTCGAAGTTTTGGCCATTAGCACCCACTCTGCATGCATCAACAATAACGGCGGAATCGAAATCCCGACAAAGGCCAGGGTGCCACTTGACCCCATCAGATAATGGGAGTTAGTACGACAGGCAACGAATCACTCAGTCCACCACACGAATTCACACAAAACCACACACGCCGAAACATCCGTTGACTTGTGATCCGTTCCTCGGAGTCATTTGACTGTAAAACCCGCCTTGAGGAAGGTTACCCACGGTAAACGAAAAGTCGGTTAGTACAATTTTCTACCGATATCGCTGTGTTATTAACATTATAGCATTCACAAGAGTTTATTTCCTTAGTAAAAATATTTTTGTGCCATGTACGATTTTCTTAGTTTTGAATTAGTGAAGTGTGAAACAATGATGTAATTTATGTTACTGTATGTTTGTGTCGTACAATATCCACTTCTTCACTAATTGTTTAGGAAGTGTATCATCTTTTGCAACCATAAACAGTAGGTCTCAATTGTATTGATTACGATTGCATCGCCAGGTGTACGGATATTTGATATGATATAAAATGCTCTGGTGAATGAGACACAGAAGACAAAATAAATCACTGCCGAGTAGAAGCGACACAAACCTCTAGCAATTCCGATTCGGTCTTGTGACAAATCACTTGAGAACCCACAATGGATGCACAAGTGCCTAGGGTGAATACATTTCGAATGAACGGTACCGAATCACCATAGTTAATCACCATGGTCGCAATCTGTATCACCGGATCTTCTTCAGGGACAGGAAAGATACCTGAGGGAAAAACAGATAAAACAGAATGGGGTGAAAATCAGTAATTCATGTATAAGACGAAACGAGAGCATTAATGATCCACATGCCAATGGGCGAAATTTCAAACGGTTTCCAGTAATCTGCCTAAAGGAAGATTGGAAAAAAATGTAGAATGAGACAGTAGGATTATTCTTGATGACTTGTTAGGAATGATTTTTGAAATCACCCTTCAGGTTCGGGACAAGACGGCATTCTAAGCTAATGATCGGAATCTCTGAAGCTGATCTGTGAACCTAACGGAAACAACGAGTAAAAACTTCTTTCTTTTGTCAATGAAAACTTTGGAACGGTTACACCTGTGCTTAATGCAACGCCATACAAACGGTAATCTAGTCCCTCGTTGAATGCCTATAATATATTTGAAATGTCTGATCAGCAACAAACATCACGATGAACAATCGATTCGATTTGCATTGCTATCGTAAAACAAGGGAAATGTAAAGAAGATGAATTCAAATGTCTTAATACCTTTTCTGCCGGCACATTCAATATCCACGCTGAGAATACGCAGTGGAGCAATCGAACTCCAGTCTCCTTCGGGTGCATAAATTATCAAGGCATCCCAAGCGATATCAAACTCGATCTGACAACGAGACATTGCCGGTGGAGAACGTCCGGAGGAGGATTTCACAATCGAGTTCTCCGAATCAGATGAATGGCTAGAATCCCGAAGACGATATTTTCCGGCTGGAGCTTCGACCCAGCAACAACCAGTAAGAGAAGTATCAACCATGAAACGAATCTCGAAGTCGATGTTGGCTTCGAATGCCGGATAAGACTGGGCACAGATCAGATAGGTAAGATTGGAAGCCAATGAAAATTTTGACAAAAGTAGCCATACGAACTCAAATTTGCTTAAAGTAAAAACGAAAACATAAAGCTTCTCAGATGCCCATCAGGAGTATCATATTTTAAATAGGCATGTTTATTTGGGAACTTGTTATGCGACAATATTTATTCTTAGTAATTTGACATCCTTCAA